AATCTTGCTCCAACCGCTGCTTTGTGATCGGTGTCGATCGACCCGTCCCCCTTTGGTCCATGAGAATGATGTGTGAATAGTGCGTCAAGGCCTCACTGGCCCAACTGTCGGTCAAGGACAAACCAGCTACAGGAGTCGGGGCACCGAAGCCAGGACCACCCTGGAGGTAGAGAATGATGTCATCGGCAGTAGTCAATGCTGATTTGGTGATATAGGCGGTAGCTCTTTGTATGGGATTCATAACTGACAATGATTGCCACCATGACCGATCCTTATCCTTAAGAATTTCAACCACGGAAAAGAAGATGTCAATGCGTTTTGAGGCTAGCCCGCCACCGTTTCTATCGACTGGGACAGAAATCTTGTGCTCAGTGACAACGATAACTTGACCCTTTCCGCCGGGATGAAAGGCAGGAGGACAAAGGATGCGATGGTTGCGCTCCTGTTTCATTTTGGCTTGCTCCAACAATACTTGCGCCACGGACTTTTGTGCGTTACTTTCTGTAACGCTGCTAGCCTTTTTCGGTGGTGCGGTGTTGTGCAACCAACCTGTCCGAGGTTCTTGCTTAGATGATGTTGATGCTTCTTCTGGGTTTGGAGGATTGTGCATCCATCCAGTTCTGGGTTCGTTCGAAGCGTACAGACCTGTCCGCTCTATGCGTTGTCGACTTTGTTCGTCTAGCGAGGAACAAAACTGCCGTGGGATCCAGGATGAAGAAGAAAAGGCGCGGACAGTCCCTCTGCTGGTTGTGGCAACGACAAGGCCGAAGAGGTAGACCATGCACCAACAATAGGACCGAAGAGACATGCGACGACGAACGATTGCCGATGGAATCAGAAGTCAGAAGTGTCAAATTCTGGTACAGAGACACGCATATCGTCCTCGGACTACGGAAGGTTGGCCTGCAATGGCATCGTGCATAGCTTCGAAAGATACGCCGAACCCTTAATGAAGATCTTTGCAAAGGACAGGGTTTTAGTCCTTTCAACCTTCGCAACCCCAATATTTTTGGGTAGCTGTATGCTGTAGCACGCCGTACTCCGGTAAAGTGAGAATACTTGTACTGGTACTCCGATTTGAAAACCAACTCCCAACGACCAACGACCGACACACACACGGAACAGCCGTCGAATATATCATGCCGAGAACCCAAAACAATCAACTGCAAGCCAGAACGAGTGCTAGTACCGGGTACGAATCGTACGAGGCGGTGTAGTGACAGTATGCATTTATGTTTTAGATCTGATGCGAGGCGACTCTTAGTAAAATTCGGTTAAAAACTTGTCACTGTGTCCACGACGGAAGCGAGGGTCGAGGCCTTGACCTGTAATCGAGCTTCATCTCGCACCAAACGAAGGGACACGTGACGATCTAAGAATGGGCCGCCACGACGAAACTAAAAAGTCTAGTAAAGAATCCAAAGAGGATCGTTTGCTGCGAAAGGCGCGAGAATTTGTCGAACGTGAAGAACGAAAGAGCAAGGGCCGTAGTAGTAGCAAACACGACGATAATGAGAACGGAAATGATGACGAGGACCGCCGAAAACGAAAGCACCGAAGCAAGCGAGACGACGATGATAGACATCGTAAAACCAGAAAGCACTCTCGCAAACGAAGCGACAGCGATAGTATCGACGACAATCGAACGTCAAAGCGTTCTCGACGAGGAGAGGTCGATGAAAGACGTCGACGCGAGAAGGAAAAGAAGAAGAAATCGAAGCATTCTTCTTCTCGAGATGAAAAGAAGGCCTCCAAAGGGCAAAGTTGATAAAGCGACGCTCTCGTCGCTGGGTGATATTGCCGGGAAACCACCAGAAACGTTGCTGGATCCCGCTAAAGATTATTTCGCGTTTCATCAACACTTGTGGGTCTATCTCTATCGTGAGGAAGGTATCGCGTTTGGTGATTTGACGTCGGATGAAGCACGGCGTGCCTTCGAACGTTTTTGTCGGCACTACAATGAAGGGAAGTTAGAGGCTGCCTACTATAACGATGTCTTGCCCCTGAAAGCAGTCGAAGAGAGTAAGACCACACGACATAAATGGTCATTTCAAACTAGTGCCACTGAGGCCAAGACATTGAGTTTGATTGAGGAGGGCGTCCGTAAGCAAACCGAATACGAAGCAGTTCCCACTCTACAACTAGCTACGGCTGCTGGTCATGCAGCTGAATTGCCTGCGAGCGAGGAAAATTGGGAGAAAACGGCAATGGACGATAAGTTGCAAGAATACCGAGCGAATAAACGTCTTCGCGAACATGTCCGGACTGTAGGAGAAGAACTCTCGGGCGGTCGAAAGGATGGCCGAGAACGTCAGTTGGAAAAGAAGAAAGAAATTGCTGCATCTCTGCATGGGGCTGCACGGGATCGTGAAGACGCAGGCGTAGAATTGGCCGATGCTGATCTTTACGGAGATGGCAATGCTGACTTCTCTGCGGCCCTTGCTCGCGAACGGAGGTACAAGGAGAAGCGAAGCTCCGAGAAAGAAGGTCGATTAGCAGAATTGCAGCAGAAGGAAAATGAACGCCAACAAGCTATGCTAAATGCACTGGGTCTTACTGGAGTTAAGCCAGGGCAGAAGATTACTATCGCACCAAGGAAGGACGCATAGCTCCTGTTAGTCCTGGAACACTAAACTAAATCAACCTTGTTGTATTGATTCTTGACAAAATTATTGTGATGGTCCCAGTCCTCGCTTCATCCTTGTGCATCTTGCCATAATTGTAGCGACGCAAAATGCACCAGGCCCCAAACGACAGGCATCAGTCGACTCTCGTGGTTTCAGTTCTGGATTCGTGGTATTCTTTTTGCTTGCTACTAGTAGGAGTCTACTGTTGTGCATTTTTTACAGTTTCTGCCTTTTTTTCTTGTGTACCACAAAAATGGAGCGTATGTCCGTTGTTCGATTCCATCGCCTTCCTTTTTCGGGCCCCCTTTTGTCTCTGCTTTTCTCGGAACCATACATTCACGCAAGTGGAGAGAACATGATGTTGCTGACATCGTCACCATGTCGTCTTCGTTTCGACGGAAAGGGCGACGCGACGATGCCTTCGGCTTAAGGGGTACTAAACCTTGGACTGGAGGGATCACGCTAACGTCTGTTGGACTGAGAGATTTGGATACCATTCTCGGGGGTGGTCAGCCACTTGGGACCTGTTTGCTACTGGATGAGGATCGATGGACTCGTGATTTAGCTCTTTGTCTCATCAGGTACTGGTGTGCTGAGGTACGTGGACATGCATATGCTGATCCAGCGTCACTTGATGTTCCTTTATTCTCACCGTGTCATATTCCAGGCCGTTTCGCACGAACAGTTCCTCTTGATGCCGTACTTCCAGGACAAGGATTCCACTTTAGCCTCATCCGCACCTTCCTTGCTAGAAGACGAAATTGCGTCTACCCATCACTATGGAGCAGCATCTGCTGCTCAGATCAACACTTTGATTGACTCGTTGCCTCGCAATTTACATTGGGACAAGGCAGCAGGGAATGTTGTAGGTGACGATGCTACCCAGACCCTCCAAGTACTCGAGGAAGATGAAGAAGGCGAGGATGCAGAAGAAGGCCTCAAGATCGCATGGCAATATCGAAAGTCGATTCAAGACGAGCGACTTGGTCATGTTCAGTCAAACACTTCCAAATTAACGGGTTCCAATGTGTACTGCCACTCGTTCGATTTAAACGGGCGCTTGGACGAACAAGACCTCAATCGTGAAGTTATCAATCTGGTCGATGGCAGATGTTGTGAAAGTCAGGTGGATTGCCGAAAGCGAGTTTGCGGCTTTCTACTATTCCAGACATTAAAATCTCATTTGAAACCTTTACCCAAAGGGAAGCTCATCCGCCTCCTGCTATATCAGGCTCCCATCGACGCAGCGTCGATTGCTGTTCCGCTTCTTCTTGCATACATTCGTTCGGAAGAGCTGCCGGTGGTAGTCATGGTGACTATTCAATCTTGGACTTCCCAGTCGAAAGCATCTCTGATCAATCTCCAACGGGTGAGCGACGTGGTTATGCAAACTGAAGGCTTTGCGTCGAGAGTACGTTATCCACAACCACCAGAGTTTCGCCATTTGCATGGGCTGCTCTTGATGCCAAAGGTTTCGACGGTAACGGCCGCTACTGCAAATAGCGGTGGGCATTTTGCAGACATGACTATGACCAAGCGCCCTCTAGCTCACGTTTATGGTTTGAAACGCGACCGTCGCAAATTGCACGTACAGCTGTTGCACATCCCTCCAGAGGATCATACCAGCGGAGGAGGAAGTGCCGGAGGCGTTCGATCGGGTGCCGGTCGCCCGAACGAGCAAGCAAGCGGTTGTGGTAACTCTGGTGCAAGCTCTGTTCTCGATTTCTAAAAGGTACGTATTCTTGATCTCGCACTTGACATACCGAAGTACTATAGGCGTTGCCCTTGGTTCCTGTGATTCTGTGAGATTTGCAAAATGCAAGGATTATGTTTCTTCCATGAACTGCTAGTACTGGAAAAATCCGTACTGATGGAGGGTGTCACGGTCTTCGAAGAGCACACAAATTGGCGTTTTAACCCAGACGAGTTCATTCCCGTGGATTTGTTCTGGACCTGTCTGTCAATACATGCACTCACAATAACTTTTCTTGTCAGCTTATGTGCATGGTGTGTTGGTTATTGAGTAGTTTTGATATTGCCTTGCGTGCCCTTCCAGGACACCATGACTAATGCTTGAATGCTTACCTTTAACAGTTAAATGATGTACTGCACATGCGCATCCCAGCTTCCAGCACCAGGTACCATGTCGTAATCGAACCTATTCCAGCATTTATCTTGAACAGAGTAAAATGCTTGAAGGCAGGCGATGATTTAGCTAAATTTTGTGCTGTGTTTTATGAGTACCCGTACCGTTCGGATCAGCTACAGTAGCATCCGAACAGAAGAGAATGAATGCTAATGTGATGAATGAGTGAAGAAATCATAAGAGATGTTTACAAATTTAGATTCTACTACAGTCGGGGACGTCAGATAGGGGATGTAGCTCAGGGGTAGAGCGCTCGCTTCGCATGCGAGATGTCGAGGGTTCGATTCCCTTCATCTCCATCTGGACAACCTTTTTTACAGATCAAATTTCTACGCCTTTGCCTCTCTTCGTATCATACATACCCAGTATAGATGCTGTTCATACAAAATATCCTGTATAATCCTACTATGACATATACGAAACACACTTATGATTTTTCATTTTTGACCTGTCAACATCAGACCGCCCGTCCGGCCACGCCCAATAGCAAAGGTGAGAAGTGGAAGAAACGATTTAGCGGCGCACGTCTGAAGACCGTCTGTTCGACCCCAACTGTGCCCTGGTCGCTTGTCAGCCATCAGCCATCAGCCATCACGCAATCAGCAATCAACTGCAGTAACATATCTTTTTTTAAACAATATTTGTGGCCATAAATGGAAAACGAGACCTTTCTAATTCAACAACGAAGATCTCCTGATCATCGGTCTCCGAATCTTGACCATGTCGAGCCGATGCCATCGCCAGGCTAGGCATCTCCTGCCATTGCTCATATTCACCCTTCTAGCCAGCACATCAACCGCATACTCATCACAACAGATGGCATCTGGGAGGTTTGATCGACGGCAACAGACCGTCCGCAGCCCGAGCCGAGTTTTGGGAAAGAGTAGTAATGAATTCAGCCGCAATAGAACAATCCATGCGGCTCTAACTGGATCGTTGAATGGCGGTGGTGAACCAAGATCAGTTCTCAGTACGGTCAAAAGCATCGCAAAGAAGAATTTTCTGATAGTTGGTATGGCTGGAGCAGTCCTGCTAGCCCGGGGTTACCCTGAGGTACGTCAACGAAATTTGCTTTGCCTCGAGCAATTGCACCATCTTGCTCACACTTCTAAACAAGCTCGGAAAGAATGGAGGCGTGTTGAGACCGGAGTTGTTTATTGGAAGCTTTGGCGTTACCACCATTTTCCTCATGTCTGGGTTGTTGCTTGACATATCTGAGCTGAAGCAGGCGTTCTCCAACATCAAGCTGAACGCGTTGATCCAGCTCACATCCTTTCTTGTCTGGCCTTTCTTCGTTGGGCTTCCTTTCAAATGGGCGATGATCAGGTTTTTACCTGGTTTCTTGCCAGTCCCTCTTTTGGATGGATTGCTGATCCTGACGTGTCTACCGACCACAGTCAATATGTGTGTTTTCCTGACCACTGCAGCTGGAGGAAACGTCGCGTCGGCACTATGCAATGCTGTCATTGGTAACATGGCTGGCATTCTGTTAACCCCAGCGTTGTTGTTGCGATTCTTCGGAACCCAAGTCCAACTTCCCTTTCTGGCTATGGTTATGAAACTCGTCAATAAGGTAGTGGTGCCCGTTGGTAGGTTGCAGGATCGCCCATCTGAAATTTACGTGAAGCGCTTTCACTAACAACGCCTCGTTCCTTCTGTCTCTTGTTAGCCATCGGGCAGGCACTCCGGTTAACCAAGGCCAAGGCATTCTTCATGGCACATTCTAAGGAGTGCAAAAAGATTCAGGAGGGAGTTCTCATTGCCATCATTTGGAATGCATTTTGTGAGGCGTTTTCGAGTGGGTGGGGATTACAGTTCGGTAATGCCATTAAGTTATTGGTGACTATCATCATCATGCACCTCACCGCTCTTCGAATCGGTTTTGAATTCTTTGAGCGGTGTGGGTTCCCCCGTGGAGAGGTGGTTGCTGGCATGTTCTGTGCCTCTCACAAGACGCTGGCATTTGGTCTGCCTCTATTGAATACCATATTTGAAGGAGACCCGAACCTGGCTGCCTATTGTGCGCCACTCATGTTTATCCACCCGTTGCAGTTGGTACTAGGATCATTGTTTCTCGGGAGACTCGAGAAATACACGTCAGGGGAGACCAAGGTAGCTGAAAGATAAATAAACTCGAACGTTTCGATTAGCCTTCTGAAATTGTTCTTTGTAAGTCCACAAGTTGCTTGAAAATCTCTAGCTAGTAGAGCGTACGATTCAAGGATACATGGTACACAAACGGTAATAGTACGGGAGTCCACGTACTGTGCTATACTCGGAGTACTCTGTATAACGGTGTACTAATACTTGTACCGGAGCACTACCATAGCAATTCTGCCGTACGGTTTCAGGTTTCAGCACGCCTTTCAAGGTTCAACACTACGTACGGAGGACAGGAGGACTGGGAACCATCAGCAGCCAATCCACTCCGCGGGACCGCGGGAGCATCATTTCATCGAACACAACGTCCAATAAAGTGCAGAGATCGAAAAATGGGGAAATCAAAAAAGTCGCCATCACCGGCAACGAACAAGAAGAAGGATCTTCCGCGCAAGAAAGCGACCGAAGCTAAAGCATCCCACAAAAAGAAGAGCGAAACGAAACCAAACCTCAAGGCCAAGAAAGGAAAACCAGATGGTTCGAAGAAGGATACCAATACTGCCCCTCGGTATCCTCCAGGTGAAATATGGAGCAAGAGCAAGAAGAAACGAATGCGTCAGAAGCTGGCAGGCAAAGCCGGAGTGAGTGACGACTCTGGTACACACGACGGTGAAATGACTAATAAACGACAAAAGAAGGAAGTGGCTGTGACGAACGATTCAAGCGATGGGAAAGGACGGGTGTCGACTCTTCAACAGTCGTTCATGGCGCGTCTGACCGGATCGCGGTTTCGTGAGCTGAATGAGGACCTCTACACAAGCACGTCAATCAAAGCCTTTGAAAAGTTCTCTAGTCAACCGGAGCTTTATGAACAGTATCATGAAGGATTCCGTCATCAAGTCGAGGGCTGGCCTATTAATCCCGTCAACGTAATTGTCAAATGGCTTACGTCGTCGTACTCCGGCAGGGAGAAAGAGTGTGTCGTTGCAGACTTCGGCTGTGGGGATGCAGCACTCGCTAAGAAACTTCTGGCGGTCCAACAGGACGGAAATTGTCCTTTCAAAGTCCACTCGTTCGATCTTGTTGCCTGCTGTGACCTCGTAACGGCTTGTGACATGTCCAACGTCCCTCTTCAGAACAAATCAGTCGATGTTGCTGTGTTTTGTCTATCGCTCATGGGAACGAATTTGGCCGACTTTATTCGCGAAGCCCATCGTGTACTCAAACCAGATGGCGTACTCAAAATTGCGGAGGTACGATCGCGGTTTGAATCGAAGACCGACGAATTGGAGGATTTCATTGATGTACTCGATAAGCTTGGCTTCACCTGCACACGAAAGGATAGATCCAATAAGATGTTTGTTATGCTGGAGCTTAAGCTGAATGGGAAGAGGCCGGATAAGAGTCTTGAGTATGTGGCAAGGCCATGCATCTACAAGCGACGATAGATATCAAGACTTGGAGTGCATACCCCACTTTCTGATGACTTCTTGCCTGAAGTAATTAATCGTTAGACTAATACTTCCGGTGACTTTATGTCTACTGTTGCTTTCAGTTATCTCTATGTCATAGTGAAGCTCGCAGCTGTCGTTTGATCATTCAAGTTCGTACTGGAGCAGATTTTACATGCGTTGGTTTGAACTTTGAACCGTAGTACTGGTACTGCTACTTTTAACTGTATTGTAGTACAGCGTATTGTACATTGTACCCAATTGTGCGCGTGGTTCGGAAGAAAAGCAAAATCTGGGGTGAGGAATTAGCTTGCCTCATCCATCAAGTGATGTGACGCATGTTCAAGGCCAACAGTTCACCTTGCAGTCGCTTCTTTTTCCGATTTCCAGTCGCAACTAACACATCGTTTATCTTGTTTTGTTCGTGGCGACGGAAGGATATCCAACGAGAAACGAATTGGTATGCCGAGTCAGGTGTCTCGTCGAAGGCAATCCAACATTCTGCCAGGAACAAAAATGGTAGCCTTGTTGTGCCTCACCTGCACACGAGGAGTCAAGGCATTTGGACGTCCGTCGGCTCGAACGACATCAGCAGCGTTCTTGCAATCTCTGAGCAATAGACACAGTCCATTGCGACCGCCTTTTTCTGTGACTCGACTCGCTGCATCTGTTGCTGCCGATACCGCATCGGAGTATGATCTCGTCAATAAGGCAAACGGCCTTGACAAGTATGATCCAGCTTCGTTCGAGAACGACGTTTACCAATGGTGGGAAAAGTCAGGTTGCTTTGATCCCGATGCCAAACAAAAGCCATTTCAGGGACAAAAGTCTGCCTACGTTCTACCCATGCCTCCGCCCAACGTGACGGGCAGGCTTCACATGGGGCATGCCATCTTTGTGGCCCTTCAAGATGTTTTGGCTCGTTTCCATCGCATGCGAGGGCGACCGGTCTTGTGGCTACCAGGAACGGACCATGCGGGCATTGCAACTCAGCTGCAGGTAGAGAAGGCGCTTATTGCGGAGGGAACAACACGAGAAGAAGTGGGGCGTGACAAGTTCTTGGAGAAGGTTTGGGAGTACAAAGAAGAGCAAGGTGGACATATAACAAGACAACTACGTTGTCTCGGCGCTTCAGCCGACTGGAGCCGCGAGCGATTTACCATGGATACTGATCTTAGCAAGGCTGTTGTCGAAGCATTCGTTCGCTTACATGAAAAGGGACTTGTCTACCGTGGTGAGTACATGGTCAACTGGGCGCCGTTGCTCAAAACTGCGGTCAGTGACTTGGAGGTGGAGTACACTGAGGAGGAAGGCAAGCTTTACTTCTTCAAATACATGGTCGACGGCACCAATGAGTTTCTTCCGGTTGCTACGACACGCCCTGAAACTATCATGGGAGACACTGCTGTTTGTGTTCACCCGGACGATGAACGTTACAAACATTTGGTTGGAAAGCAAGCTGTAGTCCCGATGAGCGGAGGTCGTACAATCCCGATCGTTGCCGATGAATACGTTGACATGGAGTTCGGCACTGGCGCTTTGAAGATCACACCTGGTCATGATCCCAATGACTACGCCATTGGAAAGAAGTTCGACCTTCCGATCATTAACATAATGAACAAGGATGGATCGTTGAACTCCAACGCTGGCGCTTACAGCACTCTCGATCGTTTCGACGCCAGAAAGAAACTATGGGAAGATATGGACAATGCCGGATTGACAATTAAAGTCGATCCTCACACTCAAAG